ATTTACCTGTCCAGAACAATCACAAGTTCCGTAAAATTCCACGTATTCACCGTCCTTGGCGTACATACCAGTTGCCAATTTTTCTTTCGAAAATTTCAGTCGTGCCATCGAGTCGTAAAGTTTGATCAAGTGTCTAAGTTAGGTATATTTTAATAAAGTATTACATGTTAATATTATTAAATTTAAATATAATATTCGTATCAACTAAATATATTATTTAATTTACTTGCAAACGGCCTCAGGATTATTCCCACTGGCTAATATATCTAATAGATCAGACGACGAAACGAAATAAAATCTAGGGTATGTCAAACGTTTTGTTTCTAAATATTCTGCTAAAACTTNATTTTGATAGTTCTTCTTGTATATTTATAAGTTTATTATATAGTCCAGGTTTACTAGTGCCTTTTACAACATTTGGATTAGCTTTTATATCTACCAGTTGTGCCTATATAAAAAAAAAAATATCCGTACGGTGTATAATAAAACAAGAAAGATTTAATACTAAAAAAACAATGCGGGTAAAAAATAAGGAAAGCCATGAGTATTATTTAAATAAAAAACATATTTAATATAGTTACAAGACATATTTTGAAATACATATTTCGAAACTTTTTGGAAAACCCTTTTGAAAATCAAAAAAAGACCTCTTTAATACACCAACTAGACAACATTTCATTTCAGAAAAGGTACTACACTTTATACATCGGAGTTATATTTCTGATAGAATAGTTGTTTACATACACACATATAAAAAAAAAAAAATATATATATATCATAGTAAAACTAATAGATCTCTTGCTACACTCCGAATATAAAAATAGGTACTAAAATATATGCATTTTCAGAATGTCATGTTGACTATTATTTACAAATTGAGATAGGTATTTAATTAATTTAGGTTTCTACGCTTAAACATAATTTATTAGGTTATCAAATTCGGTCAAAGTTGTATAATGCAATTATCGTTTATTGTTTAAAAATTAATATGTTAAGAAACCGGGAGATTTGCACGGTGCACTCGATGGATTTAGTGGCATACCCGTGATATTATGTCAACACAATTTTAAGCGTCTACGGCATATAATATGTAGTATAATCTATGGGAACACCGCTGATTACAAATTACTAATTTTGGGTGTTTCGGTCACGGGCCATTGTCTGCAGGTAACAAATAAAATATGACAATATTATTATCTATAGTACTATATTATGTATTTATGTCGTTTTTTAAATTTTATTTCATGCCTATTATTAATACGGCATTCTTGTACATATTTAATCTGTTACCCGATGGTGGTCCATAGCCAAAACTAGTTGTAACTATACTTTATTAATTTTTATTTAAATAATACTTTTGACTTTCTTTATATTTTGTCCACGATATAATATAACGTTCATGATGAATTAACTATATTATAGTCATCAATATTATCATTCACCTTAAATTCTCTGTCGAGATTTTCAAACCTTCTCGTGTCTTCTGGTAACTGTGTCCTTATGTCATCAGAGCCAATAAATATCGCTTCTAAATAAGCCCATGTTCTTTGAACTTCTACCCATAAATTTATTACACGATCTGCAGTGTTTAACTTTGCTTGCCAACTCGACACTTCGTTATACATATGTCCAATGAACTTTGAGTTCATCATATTTTGTAATTGTACTTGATTATCTTCTAATGTTTCTATTATTTCATCCCGTACTTTAAGTAAATTAACTTTTGTTCTAGAATGGGGCTGATACTCAAACTGCATAGCGTTCCATGTTTCATTGAATTCTTTCAATGATTTATCCATAGCCATTTCCTTAACGGCCATATCGACAATATTTTTCACATCGTCTTCATATTCGTGTAAATTAAGTTTTACTAAATCATTTAAAGTAGTTGTTTTGTCAATGGAAAATTGTACCTATAAGAATTTAACGGTGAAAATCTATTAGTTTTAAATTAGTTTTATTTAAAATAGTTTCTAAATATGTAATATTACATTTGTGACTTTTACAAGTTCAGCCCAGTGCCGATCTTTCATTGCTGGGTTTTGAAGTTCAGTTAATGCCTTCAACGAAGTTATCATAGTTTTAACTACTTTTTCAATGCCTATGAATAATGGCCAATCGCGCATTTCTTTGTCCATTACTTTAAATCAACATTAGTTATTAATTATAATGTATTCAAAATATATTTAAGCCTTTAAACATGTTAAGTATACGTTTTAAATCTTTGGAATATCGTTTTAGTTCCATATCCATAAATTCAGAATCTATGTTTATCCATAAAGTCGTCAGCCATAAATTTATCCAACTTTTAACCAAATAAATGAAATCCCATAGCTGTTTATTTAGCTGTAAATGTGATTTAGTTGATTCCAAAATTCCAGCTTCTGGTTGTGTTATTTCAAATAATAAAGCTTGAGAAAGTAATTTATCATGCAAATCTTGTATTTCCATTAAATCTTTATTTGTCTTATCTATCTCTGAATACGCATTTTTACAATTTATACTATAATACATAAAGTTATTTACGAACTGTTAATACTCATTTCTAAAAGAATTAAAATACAAAATTACAAATTCTTACTCAAATTGGGGCATGGTTAAGAAATTATTTTTGAACAAAGTCTCCCGTATGCTCAATAAAATAATTCTTTTACTTATTATTATTCCTTCGATTTGAATTAAAGGTACTACTTGTGATTTGGTGGTCATTGCGTTTTTCTTGGTTGTATTCCATTTTTCTGGCAATTCCTAAGAAAGCAAAAAATATGTAAATAACCTCGCAAATAAAAAATTATTAATTAAAACAGATACTCGGGGTAATTAAAATTTATAGTACAATAATAATGATCTGACCTGCATTAGGGAATACACATCCTCTGGCATTTCTACGTCATAGATTTTAAGCAGATGTAATGTATTTGCTAATGGCTCAAACATTGAGTCATATTGTTCTTGTTTTTCTCGAACTCTAAATAAATGACCCATGACATTCACCAGGCCATCATAATCTCCTTCTTCTAATGGTTTCAAAAGACCACTATCTGTATTTTTGGTGAACTCGAGTAACGAGCGGAGACTAAAATACATAAAAAAAAAAATCACAGTAAACGAGAAAAAAACTATTAATTACTAATTCTTCTCATTTTACCTGTTCACCACATCATCAACCAAATACGTTTTAAATAAGTCTGACCAACTAGCAACTAAACTTAAAAGATCTTTTTTAAATGGATTAATATCAATAGTTAACCAATAATCAAGTGTGATAATTTCAACTATTTTATTGATTTTTTGATAAAGATTATCATACGAATCAATCTAAATTTAAAAATTAATGTTATTGAGTCGATGTAACTAAAAAAAAAAATATTTTTTTTGTATACTTTTTCCTTGAACGAACTAAGTTTCGGAAAAGAATGAGGTACAACTAGATTTCCTTCTTTGTCCATTTCAAAACGTAGATTCATTTCATCATCGGTCAGATCTTTGCCATATGTTAAAAACAATGACAATGCGTCGTTCTTATTAGTAAGCCATACCGAAGAGTAAACTTTATACTGAGAGATATAGTCAAGGGCCTAAGTATAACAGAATTAATTATTTAATCAACAAAGTCAAACAAATAAATATAGGTATTATATGTAAAAGTTGGTTTTTGATTAGGTTATGCGTGTATAGGTAAACTTCAAATTAATTATAGGAAAACTAGTGATGAGAAACCGCCAATTACAATAATACCTCTATACTAAGTATATTTTATAAATAGTTATTATACTTAAGTCTTACTTTTGTAATTGTAATTTTTACTTGGGTAAGTATGGAATATATCGATTCCTTTACTTCGCTTGTTTCTCTAATATCTACCTGTAATGTGAAATTAACAATACATTTTTTTTTTATCATAAGTAAATAATTAATTTAACACTGTAATTACTAATATACATACATTGTACGATGGATACTCTTCGGCAATTCGTTTCATGTGCAATCCCATTTCAACTATGTCCTCAAGTAAGGAATCAATAATTCCATAGAAATTAGGATTATTATTAATATTGAAATCGGGCGAAAAAATTGGACCATTTTTATTGAGAACATACATAGCCATAAATATTGCAGTACATTCTTGTACATTTTTTAAGTCTTGATGAATATACTTTAGACTAAACATAAATAAAACATTAGTTTTTATAAAACATCAATTGTAATAGGTAAATTTATTGACGTATAGTTTAGTTTCTATACGCCTCTAATATTAATAATAATACGAAAACAATTAAACATTACGAATCTATAAAATGTATTTATTCGAATTTATAAAATTAACCTTTATTTGAAAAATTAATTATAAAAAAGACGGATATACTTCGCACGATGGGTGGGTCACTGTTGTAGATTAGAAGTTGGGATGGAAGTATATAAAGGAGAATTTAATTTATATCTGTACTCAACGATAAACCATTGCTAACAAAAAACGATTGGTAGCGAAGTTTTTTTTATAAGTACGTACATTTCTCAGATATTTTTTCCGGTTTTTCCTACCGGGAAAGGGCTTCTAAAGGCTTGGAAAACCAAAAGAAATTACTTTCTTTTTTAGTTTTTTACAGTTTTGTCAATTACCTGATTAGAATAGCATTTTGTAAACACTCAAAAACTGCATCGTCTACATATTTTTTATATTCTTCCCATAATAATTTTCTTCCGAGGTCTGATAATATTATTTCCACCTGAGTATCAATGTAATTCAATTTTATTTCTTCTTCTCCCATTTCATCAAACATCATTTCTTCGTCTTGATCGTCGTTTAATAGCTGATTTTCTTCTTCCTCTGGGTTTTCTTCATCATTTAAATAAACAGACTCCGTTTCGTTAATAGATTCTCCTAAAACAGAGTCTATTATTTCTTCTTGCTCTTCTTTTAAAAGCTTCGGTTTTACACTTTCCTCTTCTACTTCTTCTTGAATTTCGACATCCATTTCATCGTTGTAATCATATTCTAAAATAGTGTAGCACAATAGAAGAAACCTTTTTAATGTACACGGTATATATTGTATAATACAAGATAGAATTTAGAGAATAAAATCCCGTGGTCCCGTTAATTTTTTTCATGAAAATCCTGGAATTAGTGGGTAGCTATTTCCGGGGTTTTCGAGATAGTTACGAACTATAAAATGTTGTAACATAAAATATAAAATATAATAATTATAAATTAATAGAAACAATAAGCACACATATATTTAATAATAAAATATTTTATGCATATCAGTAAATAATTAAACAAGAAATTATTTGAAAATGGAAGAACTAGTGTGCGAATCAGCATTTAAATGTCCATAATGTCCATTAGCACACTAGAATCGAACCATAATATGCGTTGTTGACTGCTACCAATATCAGATATTTGCTATTTTTCAATCGAATTTTCAAGTATTTTTTATTTATTAAGTCATTAGAAAAAAAAAAAAAATAAATACAAAATTAAATTACAATTTTCAACCTACTAATTTTTATAATATTTAGAATTCATATTTGTTCTGTTATACATCGTATATAATATAATATTACATACTATTATCGACTATTCAATAATATTAAATTATTAAAATTTTGTTCAAACAAACATATACCTATCTATACAAAAAAAAAAAAAAAAATCAATTTTCTAAATTTATTTGTCTTTTTAAATCATAAATTTTAAATGAAATCCCTGGATTATTATGAGTATCCTGGGATTGGTTCCAATTAATTCCGAGATCCCGGGATTGTATTCTCAACGTGTTTGTTATCATTGTATGAAAAAACAAATATTATATGTCAACAGCATATCGACCTTATTAGCTAATTTATAATTTACCCCGATTCGGGTCCACTAAAGGCACATTGTGAAACAGCAAAAGGTCTTCCTTGAGTAATTGGTGTATCTTTGAACTAGCATCATCTATTTCCTTGTACCTAGTGGTTTTGAAGTAGGTCAACCGGTCGCCAAGCATTATAAGCTTCGTGGTCTTTTCGCGCAAATACATTGGTGTATTTTCCCACTGACTGCTCAGTAATTTTATTTTTTTGAAGTTGTCTTTAATTTGCATTAAACGTTCGTAAACGCTCTTAGTCAAACTATGAATAGCTCCAATTGTTGCTTCTATTTTTGTAAGCAGAGGCTGCTGTTCGTTTTCNTACACTAAATCTAAATTATAAACATAATAGTATATCTATTATAGGTACCTATTTATGTATGTATTCAAGAGCGTAACCAGTGTAGGGGGAAAGTGCCCCTTCCTGTTATTAGCTAACAAATATGAAATGTTAACGAAATTTTAAATTGGAAAAGGAATAGACGCGAATATTTCTCGTGCTTAAATACAATTTGTTTTTTTCATACTTATCATGGAAATAACTCTGCTAGTTTAAAACATTCGGTTAGTTTAGGTTACATAGGTTTAAAATACGTGTATACTTTGTGTACATATAAAAATAAAATTATTCTTTATTATAGCTTATTGTTAATGCCCTACAGGCAAAATTTTGAATGTTTTCACATGTGCAGGTCACGTAAAAAAATTCTTAGTAAGTGTCTTAAAAACCTATCGTCAAAATGTAGATGTTGAAGTAAAAGATCTTATAAAAGCTTTTTAGGAAGTTTTTCATCGAATAGGAGATAGATTTGATAGACCTGGCTAAAACTATAGTACGTAAAAAAAAAAAAAATTGAATCATTTGCTGATAAAATCGGAAAACGACTTCTTTAAAGTACCTCCACAATGAAATTTTCTTTTAAAAAAATTACTATCATTAAAAGTCGGAGCAAATTTCTAATAGAAAATTTGTCCACAGAAAAAAAAAATAAATATCTTTGTAAAATCATAAACATTTTTAATCGCTTTAGAATCTAAAATTTAACACGACGTGAGTAAAAATATTTAAATATACGTACAAAAACACTAAAAATGTCTTGGCTATTCGTTGCCCCCTCCCCCTGATAAAATGTTTAGCTACATCCTTGTATGGATTCGTATCAAATTAAAACATTTTATTTACCTTCGGAGTTCCACGTGACAAACATTTGAGCGTCGTTAATAAGGTTATCAATTTCCTCGACGTAGTTAATGATTAACTGTAATTCTGCTGGGTGAGTATCCTTTTTCAGCGTATTATACCTATACATATACAAACAGTCTAGTTAATACATACGATTATTAAATGACATAAACAAAAATAACGCATCGGTAAGGTATACCAAAATATGGACCTAATAGTTCAAATATGTACTATTTCATGTGTAATTCGTTATTGTTCAACTTAATGTTTTTCTATACCTACTTCCGATTCTACCGTATCATATGTATTTATATTATTATTTAACCCCAAGCGACCCAAGCGTACGACGGAATTAAACTTGTAGTTAGATGTTACCAGAAAACAGACCAAGTGCAATCATATACAATTCAATTGTTAACAATAATAAATTAATTTAATAGAATTAAGTGACAATAGAATAAGAAATAATTTCTATTATTTAATCGTTCTAAATAATACCTACCTATATTTCGAATAGGCATACCTACTTAATAAATAATTTATAACGTTACACACTCTCATACTGATGTTTATTACTGACCAATTAACTATGTCTTCAATATCGTGTTTGTAAGATATAATCTTTCTCTCTCTTTTATAGAGCTCAATCGCTTCGTGTGGTATATCTCTCGTGGTAATAGTCAACAACGGGTTTTTGTAATATAATTCTCCCATTAACATATATCGGGTTTCTTTGATAGCAGCATCGAGCTTAAAATAAAACATTATAATATTTTATTTATCAATACCACATCATATCAATAACTGGTATGAAAGATATCATAACAACTTTATTACTTCTTTTGGGAAATTCATTTCGATTGTTTCATCTTCGTTAATTTTAAACGGTGAGTATTCAATTTTCTCCTTGATTTGTATAGGCACAAAACGCGTCCATTCGTCAAATTTATTGCGTACATAGTCTTCTAGTCTACGGTTTAATTCTTTAATTTTTAATTCGATCTGAATGGCTTTAGCACAATTCATAATGCTGCAAAGATAATCAACAAAATATTTAAAAATATAAAAATATTGTTTAAGCAGTACTTAAAAATTAATATATATATAAACTGTCCTAGGATTATGGAAACCGGTGCAGCTACTGTGATAAATAGTTTAATATATACCTGTAAGCAACGATAAACCATTGCTAAAGAAAAAACGATTCTGAGCGGAGTTCAGTTGATAGTGATGCTTCGTCAACAATATATATGTCATATCATAGTAAAATAATTAAGTAGGCATTATATATTTTCTTTAATAATATTTGTTTAATGTTGTTCCGATTTTATCGTATTTCCCAGTTTTCCCTGTTTGTTCCCGGTGAAAAATGTGAAAAACATTTGCTGGGAAAACTCTTGGGAAAATCGAATAATGACCACCTTAAAGTACCTTTCCCATTAGATTTAATTTCAGAAAAAGTGCTATCATTAGAGCAAAATCGCTGGTAGAAAATTTGTTCACAAGAAAAAAAGAAGGGTGTAATGTTTTTAACCAATATCTACATTTTATTTCGTACACTTTCTCGTTATTCCTCCGCTTTTTCGGTTTTTCACATTTGATGAAAAATTTCTTGAGAAAATCGATTACCTCTCTAAAGTACCTCGCAACATCTTTTCTTTTAAAAAAAAGTGCTACACTTAAAAATTGGAGCACGATTTCAGGTAGAAAAGTTGTGCACAAATAAAAAAAAAAATTAATAAATTAATTAAAAATAAAACCTAAGATTTACCGATAAATCATAGGTTTTACTGGTATTCTTACTTTTATCGTAACAGTCAGTAACGTACAGTCTGTCCCAAGAAGATTTACCCCTTGAATATCTCCTTAAAGCGTCGCTTAAGGCTCCACTAAGATAATAAAGATAATCAAATTCTGTTTTTTTTTTTTTACATTACTCACAGGGATGAGGACTGTAAATATTTATATTTGAACTAAATTTTTTCTTTTTAATAAAAAATTAAAAAATAACTTTATTTTATTATTTACGGAAAATATTAAGATAGCCATTCGGTAGTATTTATTTTTTTTGGAAATTTGAATGCATCACACATTTATATCCGATGAATAGTTTCAAAGTAACAGCCGTTTAAATTTCTACTAATCCGTGTGAAAACCTATGTTATTGCGGAACGCCTGTAGCTTATTCCCTAACTAACGTCGGTTTTAAAGGGGTATATCTTCTTGGGACAACCTGTATACATGTAGATGAGTATTAGACCATTTTATTTTTGGTATTATATCTGCCGTTCACATTGCACGGGCACGTTCACATTGCTAGTAACGTATACCAGGTATATCTCCAGTATCAGCTCTATTTTGACCGACCAAACCCAAATACCGACATAATGATACACTTACGGTAGTTCTAAACTCCGCGTTGAGAGGACATTTTCCATTAACCGATTTTTCTGCGAGTGGCCCCATATTATTATCCTGGCCACCGGCGGATACCGTAGGTCCATTTTCTCGGGTATGAGACGTGACTCGTAATAGTCATTCCTATCAACTTCCCTGGTGATCTTTGTTCTCGTCACCGAATCGAGGATTTTCTATAAATCAAGTATCCACGGCCAATACGGGTTTGGTTAAAACATCGTACCTATAGTTTAAATACCAAAAATAAGAGATGGCTCACCAACTGATAGGTCAATTCTGTTTCCAGCAGGTTCAATATTTTTTCTTTGTGTTCTTTCACGGAATCTGCTATGATCGGTTTTTCCAACAAGTCCACGCCGAACACCAATAAGAACTGAAAGTAGTCACAATATGTGCATATCATAAATCAACTTTTTACATTATTATACTTTAGGTGGGACCTGTTTCGTCCAAATTTGACCATTCCCATTGTTTTTGAATTATAATAACAATTGAAACAAATAGAACATTATTTAAAAATGTATATGAGAAATTATTTTTTTATTATTTTATACAAATTTGTAGCGTTGAAATTCTCTCCCAACCCACTAAAAAAAAGACAAAAAAACGAAAGAAAGACGAGGATATAATTTAAAAATAATACATTTATACACATATTTAGATTTGGTAAAATAACTTGGTATGAGTGTAAAAATCATGTGTAGACATTTAAAATAATTATTATTTCTATTTTGTAATGACTTTTTAAATAATTTTTAAAAAACCATTGCCAACTTAATTTTAAAATTATTAATAACGTATTTGAACGAAATAATAAAGGTCTATTATTGGGTGAAACGGGTCGCGTCCTTGCACTTCAGGTTGGTGTACGCAAATCGACTGTCAACGTAATATTTTTTATACATAAAAACATCTACATAAATATAGAAAGATATAGGAAATATACCTTATGGAGTGCCATTAAATCGTTACTGTTTTCGTAACATGATTTGGCCAGAGTGGCTAAACGATGGTCAATATCATTTGATAAGTTTACATAGTAATTATGATTCTCCAGAAACAATTTATTTGGCTCTTCGTTAAACAGGTCCAATGGATCGTACGCAATGGAACTCATTAACTCTAGGTACTTTGAATACCTAATAAACACGCGTTCGAGCATTGGCGTATACATACGGCTCATGAGTCCGCTCACTTCGATTTTTTCTAATTTTTGATAATCGATAAAGTTAAGCAGCATAGACTGAAACGCACAGAATAAAAATAAATATATTGTGAGTATCAGATACTATATTTTCATACAGGTGATTATAATATGTAGGAAATTGATTTTTGACAAATAATATAATATTATTGAAACTTTAATTGTATCGAATATTACGATGTACCTACTTACGTATACATGTACCATAGTCAATGCAGTAGCACGATTCAAAAATCATATATAAGATAATAAATAATATTGGAACAATATTATTAATGAACACAAAAACGGTGAAACACCGTACAGCACAAAGTACGGTGTATATAATAGGAATAAGACTTATCGAAACGTCGACAAAATTTATTTTTGTTATAAAAAAAATTGCAGAACAAATAATACCTAAACTAGAAATACCTACTTGAAAAATGATTATAGTTTTCATATAAGTTGACTAGAAGATGGGAGTAATACTATTAAATTATAATATAATATAAATATTTTATTTTTGCTATGCATTTAAAAAAATTGAAAGATTAATCATCAAATTATATAGTAAAATGTGGAAGAATAAACATGTTTTATTATTTCTGTTTGAATTATATAAAATTATGCATCTTAACTTTTAAAATCAATACGTATTAGTATAGAATTCTCAAAGGATACTTGGTATAATTTCTTACTCACCTTGAGGCAATTTAACCTCTCCTCAAATGCGTCAAGTCTTTCAAACAAATCGCATGTACGAAAGTTCCAGTAACGTGGTTTCAAATTGCGTAACACAGGATTTTTCAATTTGAATTTTTCAAATTTTTCAGAGAGATATCCCATTTGAACAATTTTGAATTGATTTCTGCGAAAAATAAGATTATATATTACCGCAACATACATAATTTACCTACCTAATGCATTAATATTATTAACGTATTAACTATTAATTTGGTTTACTTGAAATAACTTATGATGTCTAGAACGTCATTAATCTTGTGTATGTTCTCCGCTGGTTCACCTTGAAACGTAGAATTCCCTTCTGCGTGTCTGGATGACTGAAAACATCATACATATTTTTAAAAATTTACATTAAAATAAATGTCATTAATATTAATATTTACCTCAGCTATGATCGTGTTACATATACATTTTACAAAAATGACAATATTGTTGTAATTTTGAAAACATAAACAGTTTATCCATATAAGTACCAATGTCCTCCATAACGCAGACAATTCTAATTTTGACTCGACCAAACCGTTACTTTCAATCTTATTGATAGGTTTAGTGAGTGTCCCTAAGAACATGTTGATGAGTTTCGTGTTCTTTTTTTCTATTTGAAAACAATACAACGATGAATTTTTTTAATATAGTTGAATTTTAGACAAAAACTGAAGTTTTTATGTTTTTTAATATTAATAAGTAATAAAACTAATTTAATAATAATTATATTATATTGTATTATTATTTAGGTACCAATCATCCCAATGGTCATTAATTGCCTATAAACGCTCAAAGATGAGCTTTTTGTCACTAACAAGTAATCGCCGATTNAATTAGCATGCGTTGCATTGGGATCTTGTTCAAGAATCGAATCTGGCATAATTTTTACCAAAGTACTAATTTGTTTAAACCACACGTATACTTGTTCTTCTAGTCTTAGTTTTAATACTTCGTCTATCATTTTTCCATCACTAGAAAAAAATAAAGTAAAATGAAAGGTAATTTTGGTTACCTATGTACTGGAATCAACCAAAAATCATTACAAACTAATAAAGATTCAGGAGTAATCTGGTTGACTGGTTACCGTGATAGAAATTAAAGTCGATCTCATGGTTAGGTGTATTTGTTTTTATTTTTAAATGTTTTAGAAAAAACCGTTAGGAATATAGAAAATAAATTGCCACCCCTCCCCCGAGTGGAAAACATTTAAGGTACGAATACTACGGAACACTGTATTTATTTTTATAATTATATAATACATTAAAAATGTTAATAGTTACGAAATAATACGAAAAGCATAATTACCTGGTTTCGATGTTTTTTAAAGCAATATCGATATTTTCAAATCCAAAAGGCATTACTAAGGTTATGCGGTTTTTGTTCTGTGCAGATAATACGTTTTTTAAGTTGGTTAGAAAATCATTAAGCCTGTCCTGAAAGGCTACTTCAATGTCGTGTGAATAATTTTTAAAAATATCTCTATTTGCAGACAAATGTGCTAAAGTCTAGGTATTCAAAATGAAACAGTTATTAAAATAATTCGCTTTAAAATTAGCATGCACATATTACTTACATTTTCGGTTACTGTTTTTATGTCTTGAAAAGGATTTATAGATGCTTCCAATTTTACAAGCATGAACTTATAATTACTATCAGTAATTTTAACACTCTCAAGTTTTAGAAAACATGATAATTTAGTGTTCAATTCTTTTGGTATGTCAGACAATGGCATCAAAATCCCGGTACCCATTGAAAACAAAAGTTTGTCTTTACCCGTGTCATTAAGAAAATTCATTATTAACTCCTAGAACCGTGTAAAACATACATTAATTATATGGTAGATGGGTTTGAACAATGAAAGTCATTGAAGAATAGTTACACATTTTGTTTGAACTTAATGGTTTTCGAATTTTATAAATATCTTTTATAATATATTTTTTTTACCTGCCATTACTCGTTTCCCACTTTAGAATATGTGATACTTCTTATTCTCCTTCGCCTTCGTCCTATCTATTATGGGATCGGTCATCCTCGTTCTAAACTTCCACTTGATTCGATCTCCCACGTCGCCTATGCAGTTGTCCTCATACCATTCCCAACTATATCTTACCATCTGCATTCCATTATCTAGTATATTTGTCTCTCTGCCGCCTAACACTCTGAACCATACAATATAGTCAGATTCACCACACTTTTATAGAACTTAAATTTATCAATAATACAAATATAAATATAATCAACGAGTGCTATTTATATGCATTTGAAGGTACTTTAAATGATGTACACAATCTCACCAAAGACGCAGTAAAATGGCTTAAAGAACTTCCATTCCAATTACGACAGTATAACAACGAAATTTAACAATTGGACCGAATAAAAACGACTTATTTATTATACTTAAAAAGTGTATATATGTTTTATACTTACACTAATAAATACATTTGTTTTTTTTTTGCACGTATAATGCATAATTTTTTAAAACGTTGTTGGTTTTATACAATTATTTATTTGTTAAATGTTGCAAAACCATATGGATATATTATATACCCAACAGAAACAATACTATATGCCTACTGAAACACATGGGTTTTCCATCATAGGTGACCTTATGCTCCGCATAGGTAGCAAATAAAAAAAATATATTAACTCTTCAACTCCCAAGCTGTTTTACCTTTAACAGTTAAATCAAAAATATTGCGTGTATCTACCCGCTATTTATTATTTATTTTGTCGTAAATATAAATCAGATAGGTTTCCTGCCTACGTACCAAAAAACAAAAGTCCGCCCCAACTTGCTTAAAAAAATCTGATGGTACTTGGTGCAAATCAGATAAAGAGAAAGCTGAACTTTTCTGTTCTCACCTTTCAGAAGTTTTTAAGCATCACCAACCAACTTCTAACGTCACCTTCTCGAAAACAATTGAAAGCTCTCTTAATTCAGTCCTGCCACTTTATCTCGCCCCCAAACCTTTTTTACCAGGTGCGGTTCTTCGTTTTATAAATACGTTTCCACTGAAAAAGTCACCCGGTATAGACCTCATCACAGCTGAGGTAGCTCGACAACTGCCAAAGACGGCTTTAATTCACCTAACCCACATCTTAAACTCTATCTTGAGGCTATCGTACTTCCCCATTCAATGGAAAGTATCCCTTATAATCCTAATTCCCAAGCCTGGCAAACCTCCCGATACTCCATCATCTTATCGTCCAATAAGCTTACTTCATTTCTTTGTAAAACTGTGTGAAAAAATGATCCTAAAACGAATATCCAATATAATTAACGACAAAAAAATTATCCCCTGCACGCAATTTGGCTTCCAAGACAAACATTCCACTATCCATCAGGTACACCGCCTTATTGACTCAATTGCCTACTCCTTAGAAACGAAGTCACACTGCTCAGCTGTCCTACTCGATGTTGCCCAAGCCTTTGACAGAGTCTGGCATCCTGGTCTCTTACACAAGCTGAAAATAATTCTCCCTCCACCGTATTATTTATTTTTTAAGTCATATCTCGAGGACAGATTCTTTGCCGTTAAAGTTGGCTCTGAAATCTCAAATTTGGCCCCAATCCTTGCTGGTGTTCCTCAAGGCGCCATCTCTTCTCCCATATTGTTTAACATATACACATCGGATCAACCAACCACTTCTCAAACTTCTGTAGCCGACTTCGCTGATGATAAAGTTATATATATTTCCGAAAAAAACCCATTTCTTGCCAGCCAATATTTGCAGAACCATCTAAACCTACTCTCTGATTGGTATTCCAATTGGAGAATTAAAATAAACAATGACAAATCATCCCACATCACCTTCACTCTCAAACAATCCACAGTACCTCCAGTTTATTTAAACAATAAAGTTATTCCTTCCTCCTCTAATGTTAAATATTTGGGTCTCACTCTCGATAAACGACTTACCTGGGCCTTACATATTAAGCAGAAACGTTTCTTGCTAAATGCCAGACGAAGAGCGCTCTTCCCACTTATAGGAAGACAAGCAAAAACTGACCTAAAAACTAAACTGCTACTGTACAAAACCCTTCTCAAGCCAATTTGGTTATACGGTATCCAATTGTGGGGTGCAGTAAAAAAGTCTAATACTTACAAAATCCAGGCATTCCAATCGACCTCACTGCGAATGATTATAGGCGCTCCTCCGTACATTTCAAACCACACCTTACACTCAGACTTAAAAATTTTAACTGTCCATGATGAAGCCAAAAATGCCTATAGACTTTTCCGCGCGCGTCTTACAAACCACTCTAATCCATTAATCCGTGTCTTAAACTCCAATTCCATTCCAGATAATCCACCTAGAAGGTTAAAGCGTAATTGGAACCGTGACCTGTAATAGCCCTCTATAGCCAGTAAGTGTTGCCGCTGGGTGATTACTTCTTCATGTCAATCTCTCCTTTTTTTATTTTTATTATTTTTTTTTTCTTATATAATTCCTCAAATATGCTTATTGTAAAAGGTGTATGTGTTATAATTAAAATTAAAAAAAAAAAAAAAAAACCCTACCAGGAACTCTGGACTCTTCATCATACTGGTCCATATTTCGGGTTTAAATTTAAACGTTTTCACAACTTCTTCATAAATGTGAGCCAAACGTTTATCGCTAATTTCCGAAGCGTCCATGTTTCAACAATTATTCAATTCAAAAAAAATAAAACTATTTCTTAAAAATCGAAAACAACACGAAACGTTAAAGTACAATAAAATATAAGCCTATTTATAGGCTGTTATTTATAAATGTTGTTGCTTATTAACGGCGCATATGTTAAAATATTTTAATAACCAATCATATTATTTTACACGATCGTCGTCGCATTAATATTATTATGCCAAAATAAAATATTATAAATACGTCTACTCAACAAATTACGAGCATGTTACGCGGTCGCCGGCCATAACGAGGGCAGCGCGCTACTGTCGCTGTCTGATGCGTTTATTTCATAAAAAATATTGGAAAAAATCATCAAAATATTATTGTAAAAGTCGCTTTTCTTCCAGGGCTTCGGTTGGATGAACTAGCTCAGTCAACGTTCAATTAAAGTACGGTGGTATGTTTCGGAAAACTCGTTTGTGTTTAACTATTTGTATGTGTAAGTATAAGGACATTTTCACGAGGTTACCTATAGTTTTGTAGTATTTGCCGGCCGATACACATATATGTTCACTAAAGTTCTTGTTTTGATTCGGTACTCGTTATTGTGTTCTTTTGATATCAAAGCGTAGAACTGCCCACTTTAGCTGAAAAGCATCAGGAAGTACCGCGATAATTTGGCTAAGGCATCGGAGATCGGGGGAGCT